ACCAAGGGGGTGGGCAGACTATCTAAGCAACACATCCTGCCCAGCCATAGACCTGCCCCAGTTGTTACCCCATTTAAGGAACCAGCTCGCCCCTCCTTGGGAGGGAGGAAAAGCACCTGTTACTTGGTTTTGTTGGATCCCTCATGCTGCAGCCTTCCCAAAAAAGTCTTGACTGAATTTCCCTTCCTGATTTCTACTGATAAAGAGTTCAAGGGCTTGGTTGGTATCACAGAGTTAATACATTTTTTGGCTAGATGACCATAAGGAATAGCTAAAGAACCCTAGACCCAGGAGTTACATAAGGTCTGCAACAAATAAATCTCCCAAAAGCCTTGTAGAGAAAAAAAAGTGCTACAAAAACTGAACCTGGTTACTCCCTACTGTAAGGAGAAAACTACTGCCAAAAGAGGGATAAAATCAACATCAAGAAAATCAGGCATATGGCATTACAAAGCATGTCATTCCTGACAATCTTATCAGTGTTATCTTAATGCAGATTTGCAGCACACATTTGCTTTCTTACAGAACTGGGTCTTACTTGTCCCCAGTGGTATGGGAAGTTATAAATGAATTAATACTCTCATAGCAGAAATCCTCTAGAACAGGACAAGTGGGAAGGTGCTTTGTGGCGTTGCACGTTGATGATTTATATAGCCTTGTAATGCAACATTCACTAACAACTGGGATTACTGCTTTCTCTCAGAAAGGTTTCTGCTTTCTCTTCACTGTTGGCTGAGAAGGCAAAAGCAGCGGAGATTTGGAAAAAGTGAAATAATTTCTGAATAAACACAAGAAAGGAGTTCTCCAAAGGAATGGACACCAAGCAGGGAATAAAGAAGTGATAAATTGGGAGAATGGTGCTGACGCTCATATACTGCTATGTATCAAACAGATCACTAATGAGGACCCAGTAAAGAGTTTATCAGGGACTATACTCAGAGCTCTGTGGTAACTTAAATGGGAAGGAAATCCAAAAAAGAGGGGATATATGTATGCATATAGCTGATTCACTTTGCTGTACAGTAGAAATTAACATAACATCTTAAAGCAACTACATTCCAATAAAAATTAAGTAAAAAAAGAAAAGAGTTTTCTTATAATCAATGCCCTGGGTTCTACCACTTGAATTTCTTCTAACATGGGAAGCCTAGTATATGTTCTGCAATTATATACCTTGAAAAAGATTATTTAGATACTTCTTTTGGTGTAACAGGATGTGAAAACACATCTTTATGCTTAGGTAATTATTACAGACTACTGGGGTGTCATATGTATTAAAATTTTGCAATTTGTTTTATTTATATGAATAAAGAACAGCAGGAACAGCCAACCCATTCAGTAGGTCTAGATTTAGCTCATATTTTAAAAATTAGACTTTATTTTTAAAAGCAGTTTTAGGTTCACAGCAAAATAGAGTGAAAGTTACAGAAATGTCCCACTGGGGTATCATTTTTATATCAACACTTATATTATCCATTCAACAGCAAACAAGATTATTCCCATTAAAAGACAACCTGGGGAGTGATCTTATCATGAGGTGGGGCAGTTCAGTTCAGTCTGCTCAGCCTTGTCTGAATCTTTGCAACCGCATGGGCTGTAGCACACCAGTCTTTCCTGTCCATCACCAATTCCTGGAGCTTGCTCAGACTCATGTCCATTGAGTCAGTGATGCCATCCAACTATCTCACCCTCTGAGAAAAGGTGGGGCACTACAAACTATTTATTTATTTCATTTTGCAGAGAAAAGGAAGATCCTATAAATGGCCCTAGACCTAAATATGCAGTAGGATCCACTCCTGGGCATATATCCAGAGAAAATTCTAATTTGAAAAGATACATGCACCTCAGTGTTCATAGCAGCATAATTTACAGTAGGCAGGACATGGAAGCAGCCTGAATATCCATCAACAGATGGATAAAAAAGATGTGGTACATATATACAGTGAACTGTTACTTAGCCATTAGAAAGAATGAAATGTCATCTATAGCAACATGAATGAGAGATTATCATATTAAGTGAGGTTAAGTCAGGAAAAGAAAGACAAACACCATACAATATCACTTGGAGAAGGAAATGGAGACCCACTCTGATATTCTTGCCTGGAGAATTCCATGGACAGAAGGGCCTGGTGAGCTACAGTCCATGGGGTTGCAAAGAATCAGACACAACTGAGCAACTAATACACTTTCATCACTTATATGTGGAATCTAAAATATGGCACAAATGAACTTATCTACAAAACAGAAACAGACTCACAGACATAGAGAACAGACTTACAGTTACCAAAGGGGAAGGTGCGGGGGAGGGATGAATAAGGAGTTTGGGATTAGCAGATACAAACTACTATATATAAAATAAACATCAAGGTTCTACTGTATGGTACACATATCCTGTAATAAACCATACTGGAAAAGCATATACACACACACACACACATACACACACACACACCTACACACACATATATACACATACAATGAATCATATTGCTATACAACAGAAACTAACACACCATTGTAAATCAACTATGCTTCAACAAAAAAAAAACATTATCCTGAGTATGTCTGTAAGTGATTTGGAGGAGATGATCATTTAACTGAGTAAAGCAGATCACCCTCCTTCATGTGGGTGGGCCTTGTCCAATCAGTTGAAGACCTGAAGAGAACAAAAAGCTCCCCCCAGAGTAAAGGGAGACTTCCTCCTACCAGTCTCTGAACACTGGCATTTCCTACTTTCAGACTTGAACTGAATGTCAGCTCTTTCCTGATTTCAAGTCTACCAGCATTTGAACTAGAACTATACCATCATCTCTCCTGGACATCCGGCTTGCCGGCTCACCCATTAGACCTTGGGACTTGTCAGCCTCCATGATCATGTGAGCCAGTTCCTTAGACTAAATCTCTTCCCATAGGCCCATACATCCCATTGGCTCTGTTCTAGCCATATCCATCATGGGTTCCAATTCTGCAGTGCATGGTAGGTGGATTCTGGGAGTGTGTGCTCCGATCTCTTCTTGTTTCACACTCTTACTCAGTGTTATTTCATGATCAGGAATTCAGTTACCACCTCTACAGCATGCTTCTCAAATTCTCATGGACCAGTGGTAGAATCAAGAAGGAAAAAACAAGTGCTCAGGAGTTCTTCCTCCCCTATAATTCAGAACTCCTTTACTCTTGGCAGATTTGAAGAGTTTGACTCTGTGGGCACAAACCAAATCATTTTCAAAGAGCATAACTGCTTGGTGGGTAGAACACTAAACATTATCTTTTAGTCCAGCATGATCTTTTCATCATCTCCTTTCTATCTGCCGCAGACTTAGAACTAAAGGAGACAAGTCTGTTTCAAATTGCTGGTTGGAGAGGAGGCACACACACAGCAAGTTTAGAGCAAATAGCACGGCAGGAGCAAGAGGAAGGGATCGCAGTGCACCCTTCACAGATGAGAAGTACTTAGCAGAACTGCCTGTAGACACCAAGGGGCCATGCCTCCTCCCCTCCCCTTTTACCTTCAAATAGTAATGCATGTCTTTAGTTTTTTCCCACAAATGACAGAAGACTTTTACTTCATAACTTCTCATGCCAACTCTATAATCGACATTCTTCATCTCTCCTACAGTCACCTGCTGAAGGGTACTACTCCAGATTGCAGCCCCCTCTGTGGTTCTCACCAGGAACACAGCTGGGAGGACCATACTCATTCCAGTCTGAACAGCCACCAAGCCTCGGTTTCACATCTACTGGAAAAAGATCTGACTTATCATGGAAGGAAAAGTGAAATCTACAGGCTCCATCGTTCTTTTTTTTTGTTTGTTTCTTTCTGTGAAGTTTTGGCTCCCTCTGACCATTTTTCATGGTTTTTTATACTCCCTCAAATTGGCCTTGATGCTGGGATTTTAATATTTTTCTTCCCTTTTGGTGTTTAGAGCTGTTGGGTTTCCACAGCAACCCACCTCGCTGGGAACCCAGTGTTTGCTGGGTTGGCCCATCAGGCTCTGTGGAAAGAAAGTCCATTTCCACCAGCAGATCAAGCGAAGGCTTTCAGTCCAAGCTTCCCAAATGCCCTGTGCTGCTGACCATCAGGGAGAGCAGCAGAAAAGCAAATCACTGGACTCAGTCTCCAGCGCTGTGATTAGTTACATTTAACCCAAATTCAGGGGAGTCACAACAGCTTCCCATCAAAATAGAAAACACTAGTCATTTGAAAATATTTTCTAAATGGGAGGTTATTTTTAAAACATTACCTGACCTTTGCTTGAAGAGATTCTGCTCCATATCTCTTGGTGCTAACTTTTAACAATATCTGTATATTTATAGAATTGCCACTTTTTTACACAGCAATTACAGGTATATCCTGAGCTGCCCATGTAAAGGGGCAGTTTTCTATCCACTTTCTTTACTTTTCTTGGAAATATGAAAGGTTTACCTTACTTTGTAAGATATCTGATGAAACAAGAATGCATTTTATTACACTAGCGTTTTCTTGTAATTTATTTTCTCTGGTCTCATAGAGTGCATATGCATCTTACATTGTTCAATTTTATTTTCTTCTTAAAATTTAGCAAATCATGTGAATCTGCATTCTCATGTACAATCATGTTAGTTCACATGTCTGTAAGATTACTGTACTATAAGGTGAAAAATGTTTTTTCTTTTTCGTTTTTGTATCATTTGTGTCAGAAGTATAATAAATCTATTACAGTAGAGTACTATATAGCCGATTGTGTTAGGTGGGTACCTAGAGTAACTCTGTCGGACTTATGAACAAATTTGGCTTATGAATGCGCTCTCAGAATGGAACTCATTCACATGTAGGGGACTCACTGTACTTTTCCTTTGTTTTTCAACAGTTTGACTTAAAAAAATTAGTGAATCATATCCTTTAAGCAAATTATATATTTTCTAAAAGAGACATATTTATAATATTACAGACTATGTAATATTGTTACCGAAACACAAGTCGGTGTGCCCGATGCACAGAAAGGCCAAAAAATACCAAAACATCGGAGAGTGGAGGAGAAAGGTTTATTCAGGGCTGTGCAAGAAGACAGGTGGCTCAAGCCTTAAAAACCTCAAATTCCTCGAAAACTCTCAGTGAGGCCCTTTTCTAGGAAAGGTGAGGGAGGGGAGGGGTGAGTTGTAAACTTCTCGGTGCCTGAGCTTTTGTTCTTGAGGTCAGGTCACAGTCAGCTAGCGACTTTCCTGTAAACCTCCACCACGCCAATGTTCCTCTGTTTTTCATCCTGCGAGGTCCAGTCCTGGCTGAGAGGAAGAAGATCTAGGCTGGTGGCTTCCTCAGGCCAGGTCCCCAGACGCTGCCCAGCTGTTACGGCTGAGGGAGCCAGGCGTACAGGACCCAACTAGCTTTCAGGCTCCTCAGGTGGCCCGAATGGTGGGGGCTGGGTCCCACAGACTGTGTCCTATGCAGATGGCCGCTGCCATGAGGTCATAGAGGTGGGGATGGGGGAACGGGTCACTGCAGCCTCAAGGTCTGGGTCTGGCCATTGGGTGGCCTTGGCCAGAGCTCTGGAGCCCTGTAGACACAGCCCCCAGTCTGTTCCCTGGGCCCCTCGCTCATCCGCTGGCCCAACGGTGAGCGAGCTGGAGGGCCTCAAGGAGAAGGCTTGGATCTGCTTCTTACCTCATTCTCTGCTTGACAACTACCACTCCACCGACCATTAGCTGAAAATGCCCTCACTAGCCGCTGCTCGCTGACAGTTGGCTGCTTGGGGGTGGAGCCCACTGAGGTGCCAACCAATGGCTGAATAGGACCACTAGCGGTCACTCTTTGACAGTTGGCTGCTGTGGGCAGGGCCCACTGCGGTGCTAACCAATGGCTGAGTAGTCCCACGGTAACCATTGCCTGGTAACAGGGTAGGGGGTAACGGTGCACAGCGTCACCGTGTGCGAAGGGCTGCACTCAGGGCAGCGATGATGCATTATATAATCTATATATTCATATGAATTATATCACTATAGTATGCAAATATATTAAAATATGATACCAATATATCAGTATTAGTATATTAATAGTTAATGCATTGTATATTAATTACATAATTGTAATGTGTATTAACATATTACTTGCATTATATATTGCCATTATATGTTGTATTATATTATATAGTTATATAGATTATTATATAAATATTATATAACATTCTTACATATTGTCTGTATGATATAATATATAATGCATGCAAGTGTGTTCAGTTGTGTCTGACTCTTTATGAAACCATGGACTGTAGCCCACCAGGTTCCTCTGTCCATGGGATTTTCCAGGCAAGAATACTGGAGTGGGTTGCCATTTCCTTCTCTAGGGGATCTTCCTAATCCAGGGATCAAATCTATGTCTCCTGCATTGGTAGGAGGATTCTTTACCACTGAGCCACCTGGAAGCCCATAATATATAATAGAGCTCAAAGCATTTGACAATTTTGTGTGTTTCTTTCTAAAAATAATATTCAGCTTGGTGTTCTGTGCAGAAGAGAAGGGACAAATGCAGGCATGTGTCAGAGGGACACACAGGCTGGCATGAGTGCCTTCTGGCTCCCCTGATGCTCCCCTCACATCCATTCTCTAGTTAACCACCTTTTGCTCTTGACTGTACCAAGAGGTGCCCTAAAGCCTCTCTATTAACCTGAGGTCACAATATGATACAGAATGTCCACCCATGTGAGCCTTTCCTCACAAATGTGTACCTTAATTATCAGTGGAGGATTATGATCTCCAAACTTCCATTTGAACTTCTACTCACTTGAAAAAGCCCATAAGGTATGTTTGCTGCTGCAGCCCTGGGAACTTAGGATCCCACTTTGTGCCTTTTTGTGTTTTCCAATCGCTAGCAACTGACTCCTACCTGAATCTCATGAAAAGACGGCTCAGTGATGACTCCCAGTCGCAGCTTCAGTCTGGGACATGGATGAAAGCCCTGGTGTGGGGAGCGAGTAAGTGCTGGTCCGAGGCACCCTCCTGCTGGCCACCCACGCTCTGCAGGGCCAAAGCTTTGAGCTTACTCCCCATCACATCTCCACAGGCTCTGCACACAGAATATTCTCTCACCTCAACCCCTTGTGTCTGTCCCTCTCATACCTAAACTTATGTCTTGGCAGGGCTGCCAGGATCTCTGGTGCCATAAACCAGTGGATTCCTCTCCCTTCCCATAAGAGCTATATAAAGAGGATGGAACTGCAGATCATTTTGTTAACTACACTTTCTAAGCAACACCAAATTGCCAAGAAAGTAGAAATACACGATAAACATTCACAGAAGTACAGCAATTAAAGAAGCTATGATAACGTACATAGAATACATGATATATACATGTGTGACTTATCTTTTTTTCAAGCGACAGGATGCCTTCTCTCCCTGTACTTGAAGCACTCTATAATGGAAATAGAAAATGCAATACTCAAATACCAACAACCTCCTATGAAGTTAAACGGCAAAAGTCATTCTCTGCTATTATACCTGGTACAAAACGAGGTTTTCTGAGGCCGCTTCCACACGCAGGTTATGCTATAAAAGCAACTATTAAGTGATTATACTCTTGCAACTCATCAAGGGTTTATTTAAACATCCCAGGATAAACTGAAAACCACTGCTGGGTTTACCTGATTCAGCTGTACAACTTACATATATAAACAAGTGCTCCCAAGCAAAATAATTTAACTGGGTTTCTATGATCGCACCTAAAAGTTATCTGACAGCAAATGACACTGACACAATCCTACTCTTTTTAAATGGCAGCAAAAATCATGTCGATGTAGCTTTAAAAGTACTATATGAAAATATAATTGCTTATCTTGGGGGAAACGTTTCTGAAAAAATTCAAACCAATTTAAAATAAAAGAATGCTTTAACTCTTCAAAAGAAATCAGAATTGAAGCAGTTATTGAACACCAAAATGATGCTAAATATATCAAAAAGAAAAAGCTTCAGTTTCAGTTTTTAAGAACTTCCCCATAAAAATCGATGCATATATATAAACCTATACACCTATAAACCTAACAGAGCATCCTTGTTTTCCTCAGATATGAAAGTGAAAGTGTTAGTCACTCAGTCGTGTCCAACTCTTTGCGACCCCATAGACTATAGCCCGTCAGGCCACTCTGTCCATGGGATTTCCCAGGCAGGAATACTGGAGTGGGTTGCCATTCCTGTCTCCAGAGCGATTTTCCTGACCCAGGAATTGAACCCAGGTCTCCTGCATTGCAGGCGGATTCTCTACCGTCTGAGCCACTATGGGAAAGTATGTAATGATTCCGACAGAGAAGTGTAAATATGTAACTTTTTCTCTAAGCTTCATACAATCTCCTTCACAGTTAAACAAATGAATAGTGACGATACAACACTGCAGTGACAAGAGAACCCGGAGGGATTTGTAAGGAAATCACTCTAAGAAACCACTTGAAGAAGACTTCGGTTTTATTGGTATTTTAAGCTTTTCACAAAGGTACAAAGTCCCCTTAAGAGAATTTGGAAGAATCTGCAAACTGTGAAGTTAATGAGCAACATTAAGCATGTCTATAAAATTAACATACACACCACAGCCAAGCTTTAAAGATGTGTTGGAAGATGTGCATGGAATGGTTGCCAAGGGAACCTGGTGGAGGAAAAATTCTCTCTCCGCGTGTGCATGTCTTTCCAGATCACCTTATATCTAAGGATATGCACTTTTCATAGTTTGTCCAGGTCTCAGTCAAGAGCAAAATTACATGGCATTTCTTTTTAATAAGAAGCTTTCAGATGTTTATTATTCAAAAAATTTTTTTTAGCAAGTCATTTCTCTCTCTAGGAAGAGACCAGTTAGAAAGTGCTAAATGGTGCTAGTTGTGAGGAAGCTGACATTAATTACTTTCAGAATTTTAAAAAAGGGGTGAAAAAGGCAAACCAAAGAGACTTGTTGGAAGGTTATGAATAGTCCAAGTATGTGAGGCTCGCTGGCACTTGAAATGTCACTACATGAAAGATATACAAGATCAAAACTTGAGAGACAAAGGTCCTTGAAGCAGCTATGGTCAGAGCAGTGGTTAAATTACACACATGTGCTTCTCTTTCCAAAGAAACAGAATTACTTAACAAGCTATAGTGAACCTATTATTAAGATTTTCTTTTCAGAACTGGGAATGGAAAGTAACCTTTAAAAGTTTATTACTCAGCCATTAATAAGAATTCATTTGAATCAGTTCTAATGAGATGGATGAAACTGGAGCCCATTATACAGAGTGAAGTAAGCCAGAAAGATAAAGACCATTACAGTATACTAACACATATATATGGAATTTAGAAAGATGGTAATGATAACCCTATATGCAAAACAGAAAAAGAGACACAGATGTATAGAACAGACTTTTGGACTCTGTGGGAGAAGGCGAGGGTGGGATGTTTCAAGAGAACAGCATCGAAACATGTATATTATCTAGGGTGAAACAGATCACCAGCCCAGGTTGGATGCATGAGACAAGTGCTCGGGCCTGGTGCACTGGGAAGACCCAGAGGGATCGGGTGGAGAGGGAGGTGGGAGGGGGGATCGGGATGGGGAATACATGTATATCCATGGCTGATTCATGTCAATGTATGACAAAAACCACTACAATATTGTAAAGTGATTAGCCTCCAACTAATAAAAAAAAAAATAAGTGCTCAAAGTGTAGCAATCCTATAAGACTGTAAAAAGGATAAAATAGGATAACAGAGGAAAGGTTTAATATAAAAATTAGTACCTGGCAGGGGCTTCCTAAATGCTTATAAGTAGTAAATAATAAAAGGATTTGAACTTGAAAAACAAACAAAAAACAAACAAAAGTTGTATACAAATGAAAAATTCTTAAAAATTCTATATATCCGTAAAATTTTTTCTTTTCTGTTTTAGATGAAGCTTAATTACTAGTGTGCTTTAGGGTCTTTGATATGAACTACAGTGGGGGGTGGTGGTGCTGGGAGGGTGGGAGGTGCAGGGGGCATGTACAGAACATGTTTCACAGCCAAATCATCTGGGGTCAGCTTCCAGGCTCCTCATTTTTTTTTCTTTTTCATTTAATGCAGATTTTATTTTATTTTTCCATTTATTTTTATTAGTTGGAGGCTAATTACTTTACAATATTGTAGTGGTTTTTGTCATACATGGACATGAATCAGCCATGGATTTACATGTNTTATTGCTTGTAGACTTTTGGATAGCAGACATTCTGACTGGTGTGTAATGGTACCTCACTGAGGTTTTGATTTGCATTTCTCTGATAATGAGTGATGTTGCAGGCTCCTCATTTCAGAGCTATGTGGTCTCAGTCAAACCCGTCAGCCTCTTTGAGTCTCCATTCCTTTTTTTGTTTACTTTGATTAAATCTAAGTAAACAGGCAAAAAAACTCCAGAATCCAAGAAACATAAAGGCGGAGAGAAATGTGTTTGTTTTCACAGTCTTCAGGAGACAAACTAAGTACTATGCTCCTAGGATATTTGTCCTGGGAAATCTCTATAGGTTTCCATATCCCAGGACTCAGGTGAGGAGGTTAACGAAAAGTGGTCGAGGGTCCAATTTTGCAGCATCCTGATGGATAGACTATGCTCTGAGAAGGGGAAAATTGGAGGCATGGCATCCCAAAGTACCATAGCTAACCAGCATGAGGGAGGTCAGGAAAAGAAGGAGCTGGCAAGACCTTAGTCCTCATGAGTCTCCATTTCTTCATCCATATAACAGGGGTTCCAACTGCCTTGAAAACACTGTAGGATTCATAGGAGAAGAACGGGGCTGATGTATGTAAGGTGTCTGTGGGCACAAGATCATTCCTGATTTTTCCCCCTTGCCAGTGTTCCTCTCACTTTACCTGGTGAAACAAAATCTCAAAACCACCCCTCACACCTCTTCCTCCTCCAAAAGCCTCTCAATGGAAGAAAAATAAAAAAGGAAAGACAGTTTGCAGTGCATTTTGCAGAGCACATGGCTTGGGTCTCTGGCCACCTGGATCTGTCTCTCTTCTCTCCACTTACTGCTCTGTGCTCTTAACTGGAGTTTTCCCATTGGCTGATTGTGGTTTGTGGAAGATACTCTTTCTCCTTCACACCCATCACTGACAATTCCCAAGGACACAGAGAGCTGGAGGGGTAGCAGAAGTCATTGTTAATGTTCTGCTGAACACAAATTCTCATGGGCTCCAGCACTTCTGCACATTTCATGAGCCAGGCGCTGACTCCCAGTGGTTGTGGACTGTCTCTTCAAGGATGTTTATTTAAACGGTGGAGATGGTGTGGAGAGAAGGGAGCCCTCCTACACTCTCGGTGGGAATGTAAGTAGGTATAACCACTATGGAGAATAGTATGGAGGTTGTTCGGAAAACTAAAAACAGAATTACCATATGATTCAGCCATCTCACTCCTGGTCATATACTCAGACAAAACTATAATTTGAAAAAGATACACGCACTCCTATGTTCATAGCAGCACTATTCACAGTAGCCAAAACATGGAAACAACCCAGATGTCCGTAGACAGATGAATGGATAAGATGCAGTACATATATACAACGGAATACTACTCAGCCATAAAAAATAACAAAATAATGCCATTTACAGCAACAAGGATGTACCTGGAGATTATCATACTAAGTGAAGTAAGTCAGAAAGAGAAAGACAAATACCATAAGATATCATTTATATGTGGAAAGTAAAACATGCACAAATATGCTTGAGACACAACTGAAGCAACTTAGCACAGGCTTCTCTCCTGTAACGTAACCCATCTCATGTGCACATATCACTGGGCCCTCTCTGAGCTGCCCTCTAGGAAAAACATAAGGATGAGACTGCTGATCTTCTGGTAATGCTACTGCTGTGAGTCTTTGATTCCAAAATGTTGTGTTCTTTTGTGTGTGTGCATGCTAATTCGCTTTAGACTTGTCCAACTCTTTGCAACCCTATGGACTGCAGCCACCCAGGCTCCTGTCCGTGGGATTCTCCAGGCAAAAATACTGGAGTAGATTGCCATGTCCTCCTCCAGAGGATCTTCCCAACTCAGGGATCAAACCTGCGTCTCTTATGTCTCCTGCACTGGCAGGCAAGTTCTTTACCATTAGCGCCACCTGGGAAACCCTATGTCTTCTACCAGCATCTATAAAACCACAGCTGACTAGCGTACTAGCTGACAAGGAGGGCAGACTTTCAGTACCTTTACAATATTTTTTTAAATATTGTAGATATCAATTATATTTATTTATTTCTTTGGCTGCAGGGCATACAGGATCTTAGTGTCCCTGACCAGGAATCGAACTTGTGCCCCCTACAATGGAAGCGCAGTTTTAACCATGGAACCACCAGGGAGTCCCCTTTTTACAGTTCTTGACAGCCATTCAGGAATCCAAGGAAGTCCCGGGAACTGTGAAAGTACTGAGGCTAGGATCCTGGGAGAAGGGGCAGGAGAGTCAGAGAAAAAACAACCGGGACAAGACAGTCCCAGGCTTTGGGCAGTGCCTTTTGGCTTAGGAAGGTCTTTTTAACTAGCACATTTTTAAATACTAAAATAACCGTCTAACAGGAAGGACCACGGTTTCCCTTTTCTCTTGGCAAATCCTAC